CACACACACACACACACACACACTCACATATCACACAAAGACACAAAGAAACTTCTCGGTTTCTTAACAGATACAATTAGCTCTTTATGGGACAAAGTTCTTTCTACTTTTTTCATAAGTTTGGTTTGGTTTGTCTGTACTGAGAGGCATTAGAAGTTCTTGTGTTGTGCTTTTAGCTTGCTGTTATTTATGTATTGTTAAATTATGTTAACTTATAAGAAATAATGTTGTTTTCTGTTAGTTTGAGTTAATCGTTACTAATTAAACTTAATTTAATGGCATTACATGCATGCTGTTGATATATATTTTATATTTGGGTGACCTTGTGTTAAAAAAATGTCGGTGTTTACAATGGTTGTTATATTGCTTTGACTGAATACATTCAGATGGGAGCTACATTAAAAGTTAGATTTTTTTCTCTTAGTTTAACTACACAATTAAATGTGGCTTTGTTTAACAAGAGCTGTCTAACTCTGTTTCTCATTGATTATGCAAGATGAAGTACTATTGTCATTAATAAAAACATGGCTGGAGATTTTATTAGCACATAGAACAAATGATTTACGTGAGAAAAAATCCCTTAAAACTGAACTTATATAAAGTGGGCCATGTCTGTCCCTCACACTGAACAAGCGTGCATGGTTACAAATTTAGAGGTTACTTTACAAAATGTGAAGTAAAAATATATAAGGACTAGATCTAAATTAATAAATAAAAGTACTAAAAATGAAAACTCAATATGCATTCATGCCTCTAATAGGGGATTTTCTGGTATCAGCAAAAGGGAACTGGCAATTCAAACTGTAATGAACTTGATTTTTAACCAACTAAATTGAAAGCAGATGAAAAGTTCAGTACTTTGGGTCTAGAAATATGAAGTGCAAGATTCACATTCTTCCACTATCTTCTCCTTGAGTCACTGTGACACCCTGGGGTTGGATACACAGGTGGCCCACACAGAGGAGGCATCTGGGGGTCCAGAAGGTTGTTGCGATGGTGTTGTCTGGTAATCGTGTGGTGTGGGTGGCCCCGCCCATGTAGCCGGGTGTGTGGGGTTATTTTAGCCAATGACCCAGAGAGCACCTCAATCTCCTTACTGTCGACAGAACACTACCCTAAAGCAATTAAACAGGATTACTGAAGCTCCCTCTCTCTCTTTCCCTCCTCCACACCTCTCGGTGCATCTCCTCCTGTTGATTCCAGTTCCCTCTCTATCTGCTAAGACTATTCTATGACTATTCCATCATTCCTACCTCATCTATCGCAGTTTATTGGTCCCACAATCAGTATTTTGGTCATTTGCCCAATTTATTTAGACACTAACATCTAAAAAATATATGAATGTCTTTACATTCGTTTATACAACAAAATGTCACATTAAATGCCTTTTATAAAACAATATAGCACAAACATACTAGTTAGGTTTCATGATATTTTTACATTTTCACAAAATTAAAACAAAAAGCATCTGGACATTTTCTGATTGCCAAAATTTAGTGTAACATACACAGACATATACAAACATATATACAACATATATATATAACACATCAGTGTCACTGCATCAGGTACAAAATACCAAACCAAGTGGTAAATAAATTATTCTAAACCCTTTCTCACATTTTTAGCCATTGTTTCACTTTTACTAGTAAAAGCATACACCGTATGTACTTTTAATATCTATCTATAGAGTATAAAAAAATAAAATAAAATAAAAACACGCACATAAATATTCAGTGTTCACTGCAATTGACCAGGGTCAATTTAAACAATGTTTCCAATCTTATTTTATGAACGTCTATGGTTCTTTCTACTGGGACTTACTAAGCGTGATCAATTTAATATGACTTCTCCATCTGTACTCTCATTACTTCTTATTCATTTTTTTTCAGTCTGCTCACTCCCTCTTTTTTCTTTATGTTCATCTCTCATGAGTATCCCTGTATGAAGACATGTGAAGATGTGGAGTTCAGTAACTCTAAACATACTCACAGGCCTCTCTCTCTCCTCTGTGCCATCTTTCATGCCCTCTCTCACTTGTTCTCTCTCCATCCACCCCTCCACCCCTCCTGAGTGCTTCATAATCCCACTCTGACCTGAATAAAACCACATGTACTGTTACCAGGACGAAGGGTGTGTGTGTGTGCTTGCGTGTGTGTGTGTGCGCGCAAATGTTTATGTATAGGTTTTTTGCTTCTGAAAAGTTAATCATGTGACATTGTTTTATTTTATATGAACATTTCTGTGTATGTGTAACACACGTTTTAAAAAATAGAGTTAAGTAAAAATTATTGTTCGGTCTCTTTCCCTCACTTTCTTGCCCCTTTAACTTTATATCTATGTATTTATATATGTATATACAGTGGGTACGGAAAGTATTCAGACCCCCTTAAAATTTTCACTCTTTGTTATATTGCA